TTCTGTCAATATGGGGTGCTGTGTGTACATTAATGAGGAAAAAAAATTAACTTAAATGATTTTAGCAAATGGCTGCAATATAACAAAGAGTGAAAAATTTAAGGGGGTCTGAATACTTTCCGTACCCACTGTATATATATATATACACCTTGCTACGTGTACTGCGTGCATTAGGCTAACCGAGACTTGTCAGTTGCACTTATATATTGTTGCTCTTTTGTTAGTTTTGACTGCTTTTATTGTCCTCATTTGTAAGCCGCTTTGGATAAAAGCGTCTGCTAAATGACTAAATAAATAAAATAAATAAATAAAAAACGTTGAGCTTATGAGAGTTGCTCACTGATATCTACCTTTCAAAAGTTTTTTACTGTCGTTGAAAGAAATCTCTTATGCTTACCAAGGCAACATTTATTTGATCAAAAATACAGTAAAAACTGTAATATTGTGAAATAGTATCAGAATTTAAAATTCGTTTTTTTTTTTTATCTTAATATATTTAAAATTTTCATTTATTCGTGTGATAGTAAAGCTTCAAAAATCATTATAATATGCTGATTTGGTGCTCAAGAGACATTTCTTATTATTATCAATGTTGAAAACAGTTGTGCTGCTTAATCATTTTGTGAAAATCGTTATGCATTAAGGATTCTTAGATAAATAGCAAATTTAAAAGAACAGCATTTATTTAAAATACTAATATTTTGTAACATTATAAATGTATTTACTGTCACTTGCTAAAAAAAAGTATTAATTTCTTTAAAAAAAAAAAATCTTAGTCCTTAACCATCTTCAAGAAACGACTAAAAACACACCTGTTCCACCTTTATTTGACCCTCGAACTCTAGCACTTTCTATTCTATTTTAATTCTACTTTATCTATATTTATCTTTTTTTTCTTTTTTTATTAAAAAAACAACAAAAAACAAACAAACATTAGCTTTCTATTTTTTTCTATTCTATCTACTTGTTTTTCTTTGTGCGTGTGTATAATATATATATGTAATTTTGTGAAAATCGTTATGCATTAAGGATTCTTAGATAAATAGCAAATTTAAAAGAACAGCATTTATTTAAAATACTAATATTTTGTAACATTATAAATGTATTTACTGTCACTTGCTAAAAAAAAGTATTAATTTCTTTAAAAAAAAAAAATCTTGATGACACCAAACTTATGAATGGTACTGTAGCTTCTAAGGTTTTGTCTGTGTCTATATTAGGTAACATCATGGGGACATCAAAGAAAATATAGGGACATAAAAAATGACTGGTGAAAAAGTGGTAAAAGGGTGTATACTGTATACTGTACCTTGCATATGTTGGTGCATGTTTGATTTAACTCTGGCATCACTCACAAAATGGATCAATCTTTCCCTTTTTAACCTAAATGTAAAAGTAAAATGAACTTAATGCTCATTGTTCACGCTTTAACACTCTTTCTCTCACAAATACATATTAAAGGCGGTCTCAATGATAACCAAGATGAGTGTAAGCCGCACGTACAGTGCATCAGTAGTTGAACACTGTAATTTATGACTGCCTGGAAACGGCTTTACACAGAAGCTCATGCTCAGATTCAACACAAAACAATTCTATGCACATCCCTCCCTAACTAAGTACAACGGTACTGAGTAACGTTAAATAAAGAATCACAATAGTTAATTTAAAACTTATTTCACTTGTTTATAGATCCACTTGACATTATAAAACTTAAAAAATAACAAAAACACATGGAGTTCCAAGGGCCCGTTCACGACCATACTGATTTTGAGATTCGCTGAGCAAACTCACCTGGATTGCGACGTTCACCTCTGGATTTGACACCCAGAAAGAAGCCGTCTGGTGAAATCGATAAGGTCACCGGTGCGCCCGGCCAGCCCGGTAGAGCTGTGGAGAAACGCTCGTTCAGCACATGCGCACTGCACACATTCCAGCACCAGCGTGCTGTTTACATCACCCTTAACAACTGTTTCCTGGAAACGGATGACGCCGTGCGGCAACCCAGGCGGAACGCGCAACGCAACAGTTGTACTCTGAGGAACTCATTATCCAATATTCAGATAATAAATATTGGATACTCAATATTCATTATCTTTTTATGAAATGTTCTATTAGCACCACTTTATTATACGCTTTTGGCTCCATTACATTAAAGACATACAGGCTTTTGAATTATTACGCACATCGACTGTTTCAGAAATGTCAGGAGGGTTGAGTATAACACTAACAGCTCATTCATTATATAGCGATCTCCCCAGGCGGCACAATAATAACAATTAGCTAACATGAATGGGTGAATATTTTAAAGTGTCATAATCAATCGCTTGGAAAGGCATTTGAATTATTTAATGTTCCATAACAGATTGATTGTTAAAGCGTCATATCAGTTGTCATGTCTACGTATCTTTAGCTTGGCCAAACAGAAGACAATAACATGTACATCACTATTTAGGCTATCAAATGCATGATTACTGTAAGACTAAACTGCTCCATAGACATTGCCTGGACTGCCTCTAAAATATTGATGTTTTGATTTATGTTTATTTGTGATTACCTGTCCTTTTGGAACTTTTGGAATGAAGTCAGTCTATGTAAAACTGTCTGTACATAGGAAAAGCCACTAGATGGCAATGTATGCTACAGTTTAAAGAAATGTTATGACTCAGGATTATGAGTTGGATGATTTTAGTTTAGGCTACGTTTCACGTGAAGCGGGAATTTAAAACACCACGGTGTTATATGTCTTTACATATATTTCTTATGGCTAGCAGAGAGAAAATAATTACTAAATTGTTTTTATTTAACCATTTATTTAATTTTTTAATACTTACTTTATTGAATTATTTAGATTATTTAATCTAAATAAGCAATATAAATGATTTACGTATATGTACACATATTTGTAGCGCAAAAATAACTGAACTAAATGAAATTTCAGCGAGTAGCTTGATAATGACGTTTATTCACTTATCACAAAAATAAAACCGCTGTTCACTAATCAATTACAGCATGTGTGGCTTTGAAAGTAGTTTACTTAGTCACTATCATGATTTTTCTCCAATAACTGTAGTACTTAGCGTATCAATATACAACATGACCTTATGCAGACATTACTTGAGATGTTGTTCATATTATTTTCGCTCTCATGATTTGCAGAACCTCTAAACTATTTCTGGCACTTTCCTGTATAGGTGCAAAACCGCATCAATCGAATTACAGCTTCAGCAACAGTCTCGTTTCGAGCTCTCTGATTGGCTGGACGACATATGATGCTGCCACAGTCAGTACCTCTTTCCATGTCCTGGAGAGCGTGCGCGCCTAACAACAGCATTAAAGTATAGACAGGGCGAATGCGCGTGTGGATCTCAATGTTAGTTTGATACAGGATCAAGAGTACTTCATGCCTCCCGCTCTAATCGTGTATGCATCAAGTGATCTGTTGTTTCTCTATAGGAACTGCTAATCTGATCCGCGTCTTTCTGTGGAAGCTGCAATCGACGCACCTTTGACTGCTTTAAAACGGAGTTAACCATGCCTGCCGAAAACAGCGACCAGGAGAGCATGCTGAGCTATCAGGTAGTTAAAACGATGCGTACGTATGTGTTTATTGCATTAGCTGATAAGTCTGTTTATTCGTTTTTATTCCTCCAGTAACTTAGAATTGGACATCTGCTGTAGGAAACCGCCTGTAATATGCCATATTATGTCATAAATCACCATCTATATAAGATTTTAAAATTCTCGAATGGAATACAAACACATCCGGGCGCCCCATTAGTGCAGGGATCAATAGTACTGTGTGTTCCCTCTCGCCCCCATTGCCACCAAATATCTTATCGACGTTGCACTTTCGGTCTATAATTGCATACCGTTAAAAGCGGACCGTTCCTATTTCTTCAATGCCTGCGACTCAAACAGATGATTATGCTTTATTACCTTAATTTGTGCTCCGCGCATGGATGTGTATTATTGCAGTGTTACAGGCACGTGCAGCAGCCGTATTCCCATTGCCAGGGACAACAGCTCGCATCATTCGTTTATTATCCGCGTCACTGACTGCGTGCTTGCCGGTATAGCAGTGTCTTGTCTAGGCTGATGGGCGTTCTTGCAGAGGAATCCGCACTGTCGTTTTGTAGTGGGTTTAGTATGGAAGCGCGAGATAATGATTATGAGAAATAGCGCATAATGTATAATTTACTATCTAGGCTATTACACTAATGCTGCAAGAGGGTGCCCGTTACGCCATGAATTGGTTTGGAAATGAAAGCTTTTAGCATTTGATTGTGTTGCATCAATAGGATTATTGTGCAAAATATGGCTTCCTTTGGGGAGCGCGTACTGTCAGTGTACACCGTTACCCTCAAATGACCTTGACGCCATCCTCTCTTACTGAGGGTCCGTCTTTAGACTGCAACAGCGGTATTGGTGCAGGTTTTCAGCGCCAAAGTAAACGCTGATTGCTAGTGTAAAATGCTTGTAGCTTATCATTTGACATGTTAGTAGGAAACCTGACTCCTAGCTCTTTTGAGTAGCTACTGCTTCCTGTCCTTAAGGCTATGAAAGGATTAATTCACCCGATAAAAAATAAAAAAATCTTCTACTCACCCTCTTGTCGTTGACCTATCTTGACTTTATTTCATCTGTGAACACAAAAGGAGAAATTATTAATAACAGTCTGGTGACTCTTGTACATTACAACTAACGGTTTTAAAGTGAACTTGAGCTTTAAAGGAATAGCTCACCCAAAAATGATTCAGAAATGGCCATCCAAGATGCAGATGAATTTGTTTCTTCATGTGAACAGATTTAGAGAAATGTAGCATTTCATCACTTGTTTATCAATACATCCTCTGCAGTGAATGGGTGCCATCAGAACGAGAGTTCAAACAGCTGATAAAAACATCACAATAATCAACAATTAATCCACATGACTCCAGTCCAATTATTGTATTGTGAAGTAAAAAGCTGCATGTTTGTAATAAACAAATCCATCATTAAGATGTTTATAACTTAAACTGTTCCTTCCGTCTTAAATACAAGTCCTCATAATATTGCTTTCTAGTGAAAATGTCGTCTCATCTGAATCAGGAGAGAAATACATACAGATCACTCACTGTTTACAAGTGAAAACAGTCCAAAACAAACATGTTTGTAGATTTTGATGTGAGAGGACAACTGAATGGACTTCTTCACTGGAAGTGTTATCATGAATTTATGAATGAAAGTTAACATTAAAATGCCTTAATGATTTATTTGTTTCTTACAAACATCTTTTCGGTTCATAAGACCTTAACTGATGGACTAGATTTGTGTGGATTATTTGTGATTACTGTGTAATGTTTTTAACAGCTGTTTGGACTCTCATTCTGATGGCACCCATTCACTGTAGGGGATCCATTTGTGAGTAAGTGATGTAATGCTAAATTTCTCCAAATCTGTTCCAATGAAGAAACAAACTTATCGACATCTTAAACTATTCATGTAAAGCTAAAAAAAGATGCAAAAGTCTCATAAAAGCCATCCAAATATTTGAAATCTTCTGAATCCATGCAATGGCTTTGTGTGAGTGACAAGCAGACCGAACAGTCATTATTCACTGATTATTTTCCACTCAAATGGGTTGTTAACAACTACAGCTAGATCATTGAGTAAACTGGAGAACCAGATCAATCCACTCCATGAACAAGTCATTCAATGGGTAAACTGATTCATTGAGAAGATCCGACTCAAAAGAACATTTGTTCATGAATTGTGCATTGCTGCTTCTCTCATGAATGCGCCAAGGGAAGTTACAGTGATAGTCAAGATTTTGACTTAAAATTTGAAAAAAATATTTGGAATATATTATACAGTATAGCACTCAAGTCATATTAATTACTTTGACAACATTTTAATTTTTGGGTGAATTATTCTGTTTAAAATTTCTGCTTGAGGGATTCACTATCTATAAAAAACATTATGAGAATTAAATAGAGTATAGGTACTTCTGAACATATATGAGAAAACTTTATCATCCAGTGGATAGTGACTGTGGAGAGAAAGGGCATGTGTAAAGCCTCTCTTTGTCAGAGAAACCAATCAATAGTTTTTCCATTTGTTGAGAAATGTGTGTTTATATAGACACTCTCAGTAGAGAGAGTGAATGTGAAGGAACCACAGAACTGTCTGCCTCCCTTTCCCACACATCTGTCTTGGCTCAATATGTCCATTACATTAATGTAATTTTAACCCAGATTTCATTTCATACCTTGGTTGTTTTGTAGTCAAATACTGTCTCTCTATCTAGGATGATCCTGAGAGGTTTCATTTAATACATTTACAAGATCATTCTGATCAAATATTTATCATTTATTTATATTTATAAGCACTGATAAGCTAAATTACTAAAAAGATCATGTTCATATTCAATAAACATTGCCCATTTTGCAAAGATAATATACATTTTATTGTACATCTGTGGAAAATGGTTTGAAATATATTTTCATATCTCATTCTATTCAGGGCCTTTATATTAATTGCATGTAAGAAAAACATCAACAGTGTTCTGGCTTAGGGAGTCATAATGTTCTTCATTTTGTTATCACTATCTGTCTGATGCTGTGCTCTTTTCATGCCTTTCACTTTCTTCTGACTGTCATTTTGAAACAGGTTTCAGAGAGCATAAATAGCTGCATAAGGTACTGTGCACACATCCATTCAAAATAGTTAGCCAATAAAAGACAGTCTTTGTGTAGGGTTAATATGTTTAATTTATAACACGAATGCATGATAATAGTTTCACTTTCTGTAATTGCAGTATATAGAATATATAATAATATAAAGTATAATAATAAGAATTATAGCATCTTTAATATGGTTATGTATAAACTATAAATTGTAAGATTCAAACTTATAGCAGTATAATGGAAATATTTACAAGACTAATGAATACAAATGTAATGTGCCAAAAAAAAAAAAATGACACCACATTACAAAAACATATTGCTGAAACTCTATGATAGTGATGGTATCAGACACTCTAATCTCCAATCTGTTTTTTCAAAGGCTTTTTCAAAACTTAAAAGAATACCATGGTATTACCTTTGACATGCCAAAATATATTATTAACAATTAACATGGTATCATGTCCAAAAACATGGTAATACCATGGTATTTTTTATTACTGCTGCATGAACAAGTGCTCACACACCCACACTAAAGCATACAAACACAAGCATACACAACAAAAACAGGGAACCAAAAATGTCTTTGTTATTTGCTTTTTTTTTTTTTTTTTAAGAAAACATTGTGCGTTTTGAAAGTAAAAAAGTTGTCACACACAACGTTAATACAAATGCACTTAAGGTAATATGCAAACCGATCCTTATTTTTTATTTTAAATATGCACCTCATGAAGGCTATGATGCCATTGTGATAGAACGGGTGAGGTGGCAATGAATAGTGAATGAGTCATTCTGCCAAAAGTAACAGGTAGTACTTCAACTCTCTCTCTAACCACAATTCTTTATTCCAAGTCTGAATACTGCAGTGGGTTGACCATCTCTCCCAAAATGATGCTTTTAGTGGTTTATTGAAAAATGAACAGTAATCGATTACATACACTCTACCCTCTATGAATAACAACATAAAAGCATTCACTTCAGAGTTGAAATGATTTTATGGTTTGTGCATGCCTGTGTGTGTGTGTGTGTGTGCATGTGTCACTGTATCTGTTCAGGCAGACTGGAGCATCTGGAAGTGGCAGAGGTAGTGCTCTGTGTCAAGATTACTAACAGAACTGTCACAGAAATGTGCTAGAGAGCAAGCAAGCAAGAGGAGGAAGGGCAAGAAAATTGCCCATGTGACCTTTGAAGGCAAAAGGGCAATACTGATGTACTGGCAGCCAAACTGACACTGAGTGTGCAAAGCACACACTGGTAGTGACCTCCATCTAAACCATCTAATGTATTTATTAATTTTACAATTTCTTGCTCAGAGCAAAAAATAAAACATTGGTAATTGTGAGATACAATAAGAAATAAAAAATAAGAAATAAAGTGGGCCTTACAGTTACATTGTGAGAAATAAAGATATACACTACTATAGTTTGGGGCCAGAAAGAATTTTAATGTACTGTATTTGAAAGAAATCTCTTATTCTCAACAAGAATGCATTTATTTAATCAAAAATACAGTGCAACAGTAGTTAAATATTAATACAATAAAATAACAGTTTACTATTAAATTAATTAATACTATTAAATTAATTAAATTAATATTAAATTATTTTGAACTTCATGTTTTTGTGGAAAATTATAGTTTTTTGTTAATTGTAATATTATAAATGTCTTTACTGTCATTATGCACAGTACTGTCATACTGTGCATCCTTGCTGAATAAAAGTATTAGCTTCTTTAAAAGCATTATACTGACCCCAAACTTTTGGTAGCGTAAATTTGCAATAGTGAGAAATAAAGTTGTATTTGATATCAAGGCACACTGTGGGCTATAAAGCCAAAATTCTGAGAAATAAAGTCACAATTATGAGAAATGTATTTCTGACTTTTCCATCTTGCAGCTCATAACTGCAAGATAGAAAAAGTAACAATTAAGAAAAATAAAATCGCAGTTAAGGTTTGCATACAATATAGACTTGTCTTGTGTGTATGCGTTTTTGATCAGGGACTGCGGAAATGTTGCCTGGGGATAAGCAGAGGTAAGAAGAAGCCATTTTCTGTGAGTGGAAAATCTTTGTGACACACACAGATACTGTACACACAAACGAGTACCTAGGTGACACAGGAGCAGTCTAGTCAGCTCAAGTGTTTTGTTATTATTTTAATTAAAGGTATGTGCTCATGTCAGTCCAATAAAGGAAGAAAGACAAGGAGAGATTGAGAGGAGTAGGACAACAGCAGCATAGAGCCGATAATGAATATTAGCTCTGACTATTTTCTCCTTCCCCCTGGGTAAGTATTTTAATGACAATAACTAGATAGATTGTATGGTTGTCTTGTGTTTAAAACTGCCACTTAAGTAATGATTACATAAATTACAAAATAAAACAAGTAAGTAATTAGTAAGTAATTGTTCAAAAAACAACAATTCGATTAGTGAGGTTGATAGTTTATCTAGTCAACTTCAAATATATTTCTACTATTTTTTTTAAATAATACCCTTTAAAGCACTAACGCTACAGTTATAAACATTAAGACAAATGTCTCTGGCAGTTGCATGCATGTGTCCTACCAAAAACATTACTTTTTTTTTTAAACAGTATGAAAGGTTTAAAATAGTCGAACCCTTCTAACCAATCTATACAATGACGTCTGTACTCTGGCAAGTCCTACCATCCCATCCTATTGTCATGCAGTGCAATACATCTGGGAACAAATATTCTTATTAAATGAGTAACAGTACTTAAGGGCTTTTTAACTAATGGGTCCCCCTTTGCAAAATACCATTTTTCTTGTATTCATGCATGCACTCATTCTTCAAAGGGAAAGCAGAGGGTATGATTGTATAAAATGGATCCATTTCATTAAAAATCTCAAAACAAAACAGTAATCATTCAAAAGTGAGGTATAATTATAGTGATTTTGCATTGCAGCCAAGTAACATTTATTACCTGGAAATGCAAGCTAAAATAACAATGAAATCACAGTCGGTGGTCTAACGATTAGAGAAGCTATGAAACTTGGCACCATTTTAAGCAATTGTTCTTAAGCCTGTAATAACTGTAGTTCTGGTGGACCTTGATAAGTTGCCTTAACCATAATTATATGTTAGTGGGATGTTGGAAACAAGGCGGATGCTGTTATAGTGGAAAGCTACTGGTGCTTTTGTTGTAACACACAATGTAATGCATGACCTCAATGCTGCTCCACACTATGACTGTCAATCAATACCTCATCGATCAAATATACACATAAGCCTCAAGCAAAAAACACAACAGAGCATCATTTGCACAACAGTGAATATAGATCATTTTAAAACCAATGGGTTCATTTGAGAAAGATTTTCTTGAATCTATTGTTATTATACTGCACTTTAAAGTCTGTGAGAATATTTGTGCCTTCCGTTTGGCTGTATTTTTTTATGCAGAAAATGTTCCAACAGGATTTAGGCTTGTGTTCCTGCACAATAAAGCTGTGCAAACACATTGATGAATCATCTTTTTCATGGAAAGAAGCAGCATCCCAGTGGGATATCACACACACGCACACAAATGTAAAGAAGGAAGTGAAGGAAGCCTAATAAATATCAGTGATCTCTAACTGTTTGGGGTAGGGAGTTACAGTACCTTATTCACAGGCAACCACAAAGTCAGGTAAGATCTTATTCATGCAACTTTGATTTAACGTATTTAATGGATTATGTGCCACTGTGCATCTATTTTGCATACATTCATAACTAAACTGCCCAGGATCATGCAATATGTACTATATTGTGTCTAACAGGTTTGCAGGGTCAAGCAGTTCATGCATGTGCTAAATAAAATATGTATGGTCTAAAGAAAAATGTCAATACTACATTTACATTACATTTACATTTAGTCATTTAGCAGACGCTTTTATCCAAAGCGACTTACAAATGAGGACAATAAAAGCAGTCAAAACTAACAAAAGAGCAACAATATATAAGTGCAAATGACAAGCCTCGGTTAGCCTAACGCAGTACACGTAGCAAGGTGATTTAGAAGTTTCATC